GAATTAAGGAGAAACTTCCTAACAGTGAGGACAATTAACCAGTGGGACATCTTGCTTCCAGAAGTTGTGGGTGCTCCATCATTGGAGGTTTTTTAAGAAGAGACTGGACAGCTAATTGTCTGAAATACTATAGGGTCTCCTGCTTGAGCAAGGGGGCTGGACTAGAAGACCTCCAAGGTCCCTTCCAGCTGTATTCTGATTGATTGATTAACCAGTGGAACTGCTTGACCTTCAGAAGTTGTGGGTGCTCCATCACTGGAGGTTTTTAAGAGGTTTGGACAGACATCTATCTGAAATGATATAGGGCAGGGGTAGGCAACCTTGGCTCTTTTATGACTGGTGGACTTCAACTCCCAGAATTCCTCAGCCAGCCACGCTGAGGGGAAGGGAGAGGTTGCCAAGCTGAGCCATCTGGCTGAGGAATTCTGGGAGTTGAAGTCCACAAGTCATAAAAGAGCCAAGATTCCCCACCCCTGCCCTATATCAGGGGTTCTCAACCTTGGCAACTTTAAGACTTGTGGACTTGAACTCCCAGAATTCCTGAGCCAGCCATGCTGAGGGGAAAGGGAGAGGTTTCCAAGCTGAGCCATGCCGGCTCAGGAATTCTGGGAGTTGAAGTCCACGAGTCAGAAAGCGGCCTAGGCCAGAGGTAGGCAACCCTGGCTCTTTTATGACTCGTGGACTTCAACTCCCAGAATTCCTGAGCCAGCCACGCTGAGGGGAAAGGGAGAGGTTTCCAAGCTGAGCCACGCTGGCTCAGGAATTCTGGGAGTTGAAGTCCACGAGTCTTAAAGTTGCCAAGGTTGAGGACCCCTGATATAGGGCAGGGGTGGGGAACCTTGGCTCTTTTATGACTCATGGACTTCAACTCCCAGAATTCCTTAGCCAGCCACGCTGAGGGGAAAGGGAGAGGTTTCCAAGCTGAGCCATGCTGGCTGAGGAATTCTGGGAGTTGAAGTCCACCAGTCATGAAGGGGCCATAGTTCCCACATGCTGGCTGAGGAATTCTGGGAGGTGAAGTCCACGAGTCATAAAAGAGCCAAGGTTGCCTACCCCTGATATAGGGTCTCCTGCTTGAGACTAGAAGACCTCCAAGGTCCCTTCCAGCTCTATTCAGATTGATGGAATCCTACACAGGGTAGGCTTATCATTGTCCATGCTTCATTGCAAGCATGTTTTTTAAACTTCTGATAATGACTGAGCTTAGTGGCCACACCTAGCCAAGCTTTTGGCCATCTAAATAGGGTTGGATCCCATAAATGCTGGATGGGAAAACCACCACCAGAACCCTCAAGGCTGTTGGCTACACTAGCTCCTAAAACAAGAATCCTAGAAGATGGGGGTGGGCCAACCCACTTCCACTGTTGCCAAGGAAGCCACAAATTCATAACTATGAAGTTAAGTACAGATAGTCCACAATTGAGCCCAAAATTTATGCTCTTAAGGGAAATATAAATATGAGTCAGTTGCTAAACATCTGAATTTTGATTTTAATTGTTCTGTCAGGAAGTTTCTCCTTAGTTCTAGGTTGCTTCTTTCCTTGATGAGTTTCCATCCGTTGCTTCTTGTCCTGCCTTCAGGCACCTTGCAGAATAGCTTGACTCCCTCTTCTTTGGGGCAGCCCCTGAGATACTGGAAGACCGCTATCATGTCCCCCCTTGTCCTTCTCTTCATTAAACTAGACATATCCAATTCCAGCAACTGTTCCTTATATGATTTAGCCTCCAATCCCCTGATCATCTTTGTTGCTCTTCTCTGCACTCTTTCTAGAATCTCAACATCTTTTTTACATCGCGGTGACCAAAACTGGATGCAGTATTCCAAGTGTGGCCTTACCAAGGCCTTGTAAAGTGGTATTAATACTTCACGTGATTGATTCATGTAATCATGTGATTAATACTTGATTGAGAATTCTGATTCAACGGTGTTTCTTCCAGTAAAATTCTCCTTTGACTTGGCAATCTCCTGTTTTCTCTCTGCGCCTAAAGGTAATAGGGCAAATAAGATTTTTTTTTTTTAACATGACAGTAACATCATGGAAGTAAAACAGAGAGAAAAAGTTTCTTTTTGTATGTATGTTTTATTTGTTTCTTTTAATACTGCCCCTACTTTTACCATGCTTCAAAGCAGAGGTCTCCAAAGCTAGCAATGGGAAATTATTTAATTTCTAAGGCTGTTCAACTCAGCCAAGAGACTCTGAGCGGCATTCAAAATAATTACATTTGATCCTCATTGAAAAAAATACGGAACCCAGTTATTATTCCTAACAGAAGGTATAAAGGGAGACCAGAGTGGAAAAGTCCATAATCAATCTTAGCATACTATGACTTTTTTTTTAATTATTTTTTTATTTTCCCCCATACATATACCGTGATATTTATCAGATGTTAACATACATTCTTTTTACATTCATATATAAGATACTTTTAATAAAATGAAATAAATACATACACATGACTTTTGGTGTTGCTCACCCATTTCCCCTTTCACTGTATCCACACTCCTTCTTCTCTACCTTCTTTCTCCCTTTTTTCTCTTCCCTACTTCCCTCTTCTTCCTCTCCTCTTCTCTTTCCTTCACCACTCTCCTCCCCTTTCTCCCCACTTCTCCTCCTCCAACCTTCCTACTTCCTTCTCCCCTCCTTTACTCTTTTCTCTCTCCTCTCCTTTCTTCCCTCTCATCCCTCTTCAGATACAAATTCAGGGGTAATGTCCAAGCAACTCCTCTCTCCAAATTTCCCTATCTGTATTATATACAATAAGATTAATTTTCTCTTACATTAATACTTCTATTTATCTAACCTTCTCGGTATATACTTCTATAAATGTTTATACAACCTCCAGTTATTCAATTCTGTGTCGCCTGGGTCTCCCTCCTTATCTGCTCCTTCTTCTTCCATCTAAATCAGTGGTTCTCAACCTTTTTAATGCCGCGACCCCCAACCGGTCGTAAGTCGAGGACTACTCAACCGGTCGTAAGTCGAGGACTACTCAACTGGTGCAGCACCGTTTGCAGAATGGGACTTTTGGCGGGCTCAGCAGGGCAGAGACAGCCTGGACAATTCCTATTGGCTTTTGAAAGCCAATAGAATTAGACTCTATTCAAGAGAGTCTATTCTATTGGCTTTCAAAAGCCAATAGAATAAAAGGGAGTAGCACAGCTAAGGAAAAGGGGAAAAAATGGCGGACTGCGTTGTTTGGCGACCCTCGTGAAATGGTCGTCTGACCCCAAATGGGGTCCCGACCCACAGGTTGAGAACCACTGATCTAAATTGATGTTAACTATCTTTTACCCGTATTCTCTTTTCAGCCAATCATATAAAGTTCCCCAGATTTCATAGCATACTATGACTTTGTTTACATTCTTATCCTAGTAAACTCAGGTAAGATGGTCCTGCCTTCAGACGCTTTGGAGAATAGGTTGACACCCGCCTTTTCTTTGTGGCAGCCCTTTAGATATTGAAACTTTGCTATCATGTTACCCGTAGTCACCCCTAGCAGTTTTTGCTACTCTGCCCCTGCCTACTGTAATTTGTAAATTCATTTGCAAAGACGCCAGCAAAGGAAGAAGCCCTGTTGTGTAACTAGATTTCTATTTAATTAACTCTGTATGTAGACCAACATTCTGGTAATCTTCAGTTTCAGAAGAAAACCGTAAGAACGTATTTTGAACCGTGCAAAATGCAAATACTCCGTTCAATATTTTATGAAGAAGCTGCAGCAAAGAGTTTAAGAAAACATTTCCCGCTGGGCAAATACTTTTGGATTTTATTTAACCAAGGTTGGAATACAGTTTGGAAAAAAAAACAATTTAAAACCAGTAGTAATATTCCTTTAATCAAATATAATTGGAATGCAATGTTTAGTTGTGGAGGCCAATGAAACTCAGGTGAAGCTATTACATTAAAGTTGAAATATTAAATTAGTGTTTCGATATGAGGCTCTTCTAGGAGTCATTAAATAGAGGGAGGGAGGGAAGGAAGGAAGGAAGGAAGGAAGGAAGGGAGAGAGAAAGAAAGAGAAAGAAAGAAAGAAAGAAAGAAAGAAAGAAAGAAAGAAAGAAAGAAAGAAAGAAAAGAAGGAGGGAAGAAGGGAGGGAGGGAGGGAAGGCAGGAAGGAAAGAGAAAGAAAGAGAGAGGAAGGAAGGAAAGAAGGAAGGAAGGAAGGAAGGAAGGAAGGAAGGAAGGAAGGAAGGAAGGAAGGAAGGAAGGAAGGAATAACAGTAGCTCAGTGGTTAGATAAGCAGCAAATAAATTTAACAAAATAAATAAATCTTGTTGTTGATTTCAGAATTGTTGTGAATAAGGCATCCAGCGAAGAAGCTGAAAAGCTATAAAGAGTTCAGTGCAGTTGTTAAGTCAGTAATACAACTGTGAAGTGAATCTGGCTTCCCCATTGATTTTGCTTGTCAGAAGGTCATAAAAAGGGATCACATGATCCCGGGACACTGGGACTGTCATAAATATCTTGAGTCAGTTGCCAAGCGTCTGGATTTTAAACATGTAACCATGGGGATGCTGCAGTGGTCATAAGTGCGAGAAACAATCATAATTTTTCAGTGCTGTTGTAACTTTGAACGATCACCAAGTGAAGTGTTGTAAGTTGAGGACTACCTATATGTCTAAGATTGGATCAATCTTATTTCTGAGAAGACCAGTGTTGTACAAGCGGGCTATTATCCTACTAAAGTGACAAAGGCTTTCCCAATTTCCACGGACAAGAGACTCCCAAATTAACCACTTCTGTCTGGGGCAGAGACAACCAAACCTATTTATTTTTCCCTGGCAGTTACCAGTCAGTTTCTTGCACATTTCACGGCAAAGTCATTTTCCCTTCCGAGGTGCACATCTAAAATTTGCCATTGGTTCCTGAGCTTTAGGTTTAATGTTCCTCTCCTGTTGACGACAATTCTCTATCCTTTTTTTTATTTTATTTTTGTAGGAATGATGGCATCCTTTGCTCTATGTCTTGACAAGCCTTCCTCTTCCTTTTCTTTTCCAGAATTGCCCTACGGCTGGGAGAAAATTGACGATCCCATTTATGGCACTTATTATGTGGAGTAAGTTTTTTCAAACCCTTATTAATGGCCTGTTCATCTTGTGTCAGTCAACTGTGGTTCAGGTCCCCTGTGGTATTTCATGTCAAAAAGAAAGCAGTTCAGTGTGGGTTTTGTTGTCCCTGGACACCTTACGATGTAACAGAAAAGAGAGGGCCCAACTGGGAAAAAATGGGGGAAAAAAGTGTAGAGGTAGTCCTTGACTTACAACAATAACATAACCCCGATTTTTTGTTGCTAAGTTAGATAGTTGTTCACTGTCTCGTTTTGCCCCATTTTATAACCTTGTTAAGTGAATTACTGCAGTTGTTAACAAGTTGTTAACCTTGTTAAGTGAAACTGGCTTCTCCCCTTGATTTTGCTTGTCAGAAGGTCCTAAAAGTTGAACGCCTGACCCCAGGACTTTGCAACCGTCGTAAAAATCTTGAGTCAGTTGCCAACTGTCTGAATTTCGATCACGTGACCGTAGGGAGTCTGCAGCCTGGTTTTAAGTGAATTGACTGTGCTTGTCAGAAATTCACCAAAGGTCAGCGATCCCCGATCTTGGTGGTCTGACGGCCCGGCTGGGGCAAGGGAAAGGGGAGTCAGGCTGTGTGAGCAGCAGGCTGGTGGACACATGTGCGCACACACACAATTAGGTTTGCGCAGGCAGTGGGCCACCGCACCCACATGCGTGCGCAACTCGACTTGTGCAAGCTGAGCTTTACGCCCATGTGCATGCACGCCGGCCCTCCACTCGCACAAGTTAAGCTCTGCATGCGTGCAGGAACGCTGGTCTGCCACTCATGCAGCTTTTCCAAATAGGTCAGGGGTTCTCAGACTTGGCCACTTAAGACTTGTGGACTTCAAATCCCAGGATTCCCCAGCCAGCCATGGCTGGCTAGGGAATCCTGGAAGTTGACGTCCACAAGCATGGCTAGCTGGGGAATCCTGGGAGTTGAAGTCCACAAGCTTGGCTGCCTGGGGAATCCTGGGAGTTGAAGTCCACAAGCATGGCTGGCTAGGGAATCCTGGGAGTTGAAGTCCACAAGCATGGCTGCCTGGGGAATCCTGGGAGTCGAGGTCCACAAGCATGAATGCCTGGGGAATCCTGGAAGTTGAAGTCCACAAGCATGGCTGCCTAGGGAATCCTGGGAGTTGAGGTCAAGTCTTAAAGTGGCCAACTTTGAGGACCCCTGGAATAGGCCATGGCCCAGGAATTGGGGACCCCTACCAAAGGTGATCACATGACCAGACACTGTATTGGTCATAAATACATGCCAGTTGCCAAGCATCTAAACGTTGATCACGTGACCGTGGGGATGCTGCAATGCTGCAACGGCCGTCAAGTGTGAAAAACGGTCCAATGTCACTTTTTTCAGGGCTGAAATGGTCACTAAACGAATGGTTGCAAGTCAAGGGCTACCTGTGACACTCTTTTCAAGAGTGTTTTCCATTGAAAAAAGTTGCCTCGTTTTGTCCTCTTGTCGTCCCATCTTATTTATTGATTGATTGATGTGATATGGTCGCCCAACTCAAGACGCTGGGGCTCCAGACAGCGAACGAAGCTCCAGTCCTCTCTTCCCCCAAATCCAAATGAAAAATCATCCCTTGCTGAAGTAAAAGCAAAGAAGACCATTCCAGAGGACAGGAGTTCCATTGAAGAGGTCTTCTGAGCCCCATCGGTAGTGTTGCTTCAAGGAAGTGTCCCCAAGAATTCCCACCCTATTAGAGCACATGGGATGGGCAGATATCACTGGAGGCCAAGCGTCCTTGCCAATACCCCAATCCTGTGCCACGTAGACCTTTAATGAAGAATTATCAGCATCTGTTGTCTTCTAATGCAGGGGTCTCCAAACATGACCACTGTGGACTTCAACTCTCAGAACTGGAGTTGAAGTCTTCAAGTTGCCAAGTCTCCATCCTTGGCAGCTTCAACACTTATGGACTTCAACTCCCAGAATTCCTCAGCCAGTCGTGGAAGTTCCAAAGGTGTTTTTTCAAAAGGCAACTGGACTTTGTTTTTCCTGGAAGACGTTGCGTTTCTCATCCAAGTTCTGATCTGAAGAAATACCTTATATGAGAAGTGAAACGTCTTCAAGAAAAACAAAGCCCAGTTGTTGTTTTGGGGGGGGGGGAAGCACCTTTGCGACAACCATGACTTGGATGACTGAGAACCTCCCTAAATAAATTCTGGGAGTTGAAGTCCACAAATCGTAAACAGTAAAGTTGGACAAATTGTTGAGCCTTGGTCTAATGCATGAGGACTAGAACAGTTGTAGTAGCATCCAATTGGAGAAATACCCATCCTAGAAAAGGCAGTGGTTAGACCGCTTATGTATTTTTCCTAAGAAACCAGCATGGGGGCTGTTTTTGAGATCCTTGGGAGTTGAGTTTGAGATGATTGCCTTATTTCTGTACAGATATGTCTTATACAAATGGGCTGTTTATCATTCTGAAGTGAATTTAAAAGACTGTTATTGTGCTAAGTGTTTGGTCTCATTTCATCATTATTTTTTTCTGCACACCTTCTTGTGTTTCTTTTGTAATTTTGTTAGTTGTTTTTTTTAAAAAAATCCTTGTGGAAACATGTCTACTGAAAGGAAAGAGAACCCTGAGGAGATTTTTTTGCACCTGTGGTTAGAAGTTACTAGAAGTCGGATCCCCTAATAAATCTGTCCCCATGTTTTTCCCCACAGAAAAATACTCATATCCAAATCAGCGGTCTCCAGACTTGGCAACTTTAAGACTCGTGGGCTTCAACTTCCAGAATACCTCAAACCAGTCATGCTGGGAATGGAAGTCCAGAAGTCTTGCCAAGTCCTACATGGAAATTTAACACAGTCTTCAATCTTTTAAACCAGTGTTTCTCAACCTTGACAATTTTAAGGCATGTGGACTTCAACTCCCAGAATTCCACAGCCAGCATTGCTGGCTGTGGAATTCTGGGAGCTGACGTCCACATGCCTTAAAATTGTCAAGGTTGAGAAACACTGGTTTAAACGAACGCTGCAGATTTGAAAACACCTTTGCAAAATAATGCTTTTTTTTTTTCAGTGCAAATCTTGAAAATGCTCACTTTTTGCTCCCTTTCTCCCCCCCCCCCCTCAAAAAAAGTAATTTTAAGTGTCATTGGCAGCATGATTTTTAGGCCATTAGTGGAGCAGAAGAAAAGTTCGCGAAAATGAAATAAGTGAAAAGGAGCAAAAGGGGGCAAGAGCTGTTAATGCAACTCTGGGTTAAGATAACCTCTTTCGCGGAATTAAGCCTACTTTACAATCCCATTATATACATTCAAGAAGTAATCGTTAGTCTCAAGAGAAGCATGACGTGGTCACTTTTATGGTACAGTTGGATTCAAAACAGGTCGTTTGGGAAAGAAAATGGGCAGCTCAAGTTATCCAAAGATTTTCTGATGTTACAAAAGTGACAATGAAATCGAAGGGGTAGATGAATACACTCTAGAATTCCAGATGATGATCACATATATTTATTCTTTTTTCCAGTTGATAAAAAAAAAAATCCTTGCAGACAACATGGAATAGAATAGAATAGAATAGAATAGAATAGAATAGAATAGAATAGAATAGAATAGAATAGAATAGAATAGAATAGAATAGAATAGAATAGAATAGAATAGAATAGAATAGAAAATATGGAATGGAGTGGAGTGGAGTAGAGTAGAGTAGAGTAGAGTAGACTAGAACAGAACAGAACAGAACAGAACAGAATAGAATAGAATAGAATAGAATAGAATAGAATAGAAAATATGGAATGGAGTGGAGTAGAGTGGACTAGACTAGACTAGACTAGACTAGACTAGAATAGAATAGAACAGAACAGAACAGAACAGAACAGAATAGAATAGAATAGAATAGAATAGAATAGAATAGAATAGAATAGAATAGAAAATATGGAATGGAGTGGAGTAGAATAGAATAGAATAGAATAGAATAGAATAGAATAGAATAGAATAGAATAGAATAGAATAGAATAGAATAGAATAGAATAGAATAGAATAAAAAATATGGAGTGGAGTGGAGTAGAGTAGAATAGAATAGAATAGAATAGAATAGAATAGAATAGAATAGAATAGAATAGAATAGAATAGAATAGAAAATATGGAATGGAGTGGAGTAGAGTAGAATAGAATAGAATAGAATAGAATAGAATAGAATAGAATAGAATAGAATAGAATAGAATAGAATATATGGAATGAAGTGGAGTGGAGTGGAATAGAATAGAATAGAATAGAATAGAATAGAATAGAATAGAATAGAATAGAATAGAATAGAATAGAATAATAATTTTATTGTCACTTTGAATGTAGACTAATCGGCATACATTAAAATGAAATTTCGTTGCATATAGCTCTCAAAGGGTGATGACCTCTGATATACTCTCCATAAATATGACAAAAATAAATAAATAAATACAGAATTATGCATATACCCACATATATATGCATCAGGATGTCCTACGCCAGGGACAATTTTTTTTAAGTCTGATTTTTTTTTAAAGCCCAGTGTCATCTTATCAGGGAGATGAGTGCCCTATAAATTAAATACACAAGTGCAGAATTCTTGCTTGTCAGCTGCTACCGGATCACTTTGAATGAAGATGATGTGGATCTGTTTAGATGTTTTTTAATCAGTAAGCTTCCTTTCCTCCTCTTGGGCAATTTTTTTTTAAATATTCTCTGGGAGAAAAGAAAGTCATGAATAACCCAGTCTGAACATCTGCCTGATTCTCCGATGCGCCAAAATAACAACAAAAGCATTGACAAAGCTGCCATCAGTGGAATTGCGGAAGGCAGCTTGACTTGGAACAGCTGAAATCCTCCAACGAGACCTTTAACACCATGAGACAACAACATCTGCCTCTCCCAGGACCTTGGGAAGGACTCCATAGGATAGGTGGATAAAAATGTTCCCCTCGAAACATCTGGTACACTGTGTGGGCAAACATTACAATAATAATTAATGCCATCTTAAGCAGCTATAATGAAAACTAACGATTCCATC